GTGTGTTCGCTGAACTGCTTCCATCCGTCGGTCCAAGTCATCGCTGGAGGAAACTCAAGTGGATATATTACAATTTGGACCGGGTCAGAAACCAATTTAGAAACGTCTTCACCAACATAATCAGCATTCTTGTAAATGGCAGATTGCCTTTTATGATTTTTGTTTTAGTCAAAAATAAAGCTTGTCAATAAAACTATATATTTGCATATAACCTTAAAGTTCTTCATTAATTCAGTCAGAAGCTATGGGTTGTCTGATTTACTATAAAAAATCACCAACGATACAATTGCAATAAATTCTATACAGCTATATAATAGAATCAATCCAATTTTAGGGGATAAATGCGAAACTCATCCAATGATCAACACCTTATCTACTGCAAACGAAAGCAGAATTGAACAGATTTTAAAGTTATGCAGGTTTTTTTTCAGACGGGCCATTTCCACTGGTCAGGTTGAGGTTTCCCTACCAGTGGCTCCCAGCACTTGTATTTGAGCATAGTCCTCACTAAGCCCAGTTCGGCTTCTGCCTGAAATTTAGCAAGACTGATATCAGCAAAGAACAATGATTTTAGAAATGCTTTTAAAAGAAATTACCTTGTGAGAAACAGCCGCAGGAAATAGTAACCTTTAGCTAAACAGCTGGAGAGCAAAATGACTAGAGACAACAATAAAATTACGAGAAGGAAACAACCGAAATATTCTATCTGATTAGCGAATATTTTGTGAGTGGAATGCACCACGGCGTAAGATAATTCATTCTATTTCATGAAGGGATTAATAATTAGTAAGGAATTTTGCAGCAGCTGGGATATCGACTACCCTTCTACTTTCATGACAGACGCCATCTGCGGCAACCCGGTTTTCACAGAGCTGATCCTGCAACAGCACTAACCTGCGTTTCTCTGCCACCAACCAAAAGTGGTCTTGTTTTTAAAGGCAGTGTCTAGAGCTATGTTGCAAGGGCAAGTGCAGCAGTACTCTATATTTTCCCGTTACGTTTTCCATAAGGTGGTAGCTGTGGTCTACCTCTGAAGTGCGGAAAGCGAGTGGCCGAATTCGCCAACTTTCCAGTGTGAATCCGGTGAACGAAATTCTTACTACAGCTACTAACTGAAATGGCGTCACTGCGGTATCTAAAATTTCACTTTTTCAATAGCTGTAACGGCACTGCTACAGATTTTGATTTTCGCGCTGTGTCCAATAATCATTGCAGTAATGCATGCCCCACTCCCCCCCCCCGCCACAGATTGCCGGTTAATTAGAACTTCATAGCAGAATTTAGAAATCCGTTTTTCCGTTCGGGATTATAATGATCCTGACAATGAATACTGAAGGGATTCAACTTAACCAACCTTTACGTTCAACAGCTGAATTTTAAAAAATGATCACTAATTTGTAAGAATTATCCTTAATAAGTACAACTTATGCAACTCTTTCCATCGCTTACTGATTCAGAGTATGGAAATGCCATGAATCAGGACTGTGGGATATAAATGTCGAAGGTATGGACAGTCCGCAAAAAAGACTTGCAAGGTAAGAGCTATTCGGAACCAAGGCAAGAGAACAAAGGATACTTCATTTGTACCTGTCAAGTTGAGAAGGTAGATGGTGAAGACCAAGTTTGCTGACCAGAACTAATACTGACATATCATCAGACTGCTGACATTTATTTATAAAATTAAAGGAATGTTGGTGAGCTTCATCACTTGGCTGATGAACGCTGGAAACTCTGGCCGAAACCTGAGTAATCATCGACACAGGAATTTGTCGTCTGGAAATGTTTCATT